CTAAAAGATAGTTGGAGATGCAAGACTGGAGGTCAGTAGAGAGACTGGGACAGGAAAGATAGATCTTAACAATTATCAGCATAAAGATGGTAAGTAAATCCATGGGAGCTGTTGAGATCATCAAGTGAAACAATACAGAGGGAGAAGAGAAGAGGGCACAGGACCCTAAGTATTCTCTGAGGAATACTTATGGTCAATGGATGTGACCTAGAAGAACATTCAGCAAAGGAGTTAGAGGACAGATCACATAGGGAGAAAGAGAACCAGGAGAGAGTGGCGTCCTGAAAACCTATAGAGAAGAGAATTTCAAGGAAGAGAGAGTGATCAACATTATAAAAGGATGCGGAGAGGTCAAGGAGAATGAGGAATAAGAAAAGGCCACTGGATTTGGCAACTAAGAGATCCTTAGTAACTCTGGAGAGAGTAGTTTCAATGGAATAAGGTTAGAAGCCAGATTGTAAGGGATCAAGAAGAAAGTGAGAGAAAAGAAAATAGAGACATTTATCATAGATGGCCTTTTCTAGAAGTTTAGCTACAAAGGGCAAGAGACATCTGTGATGATAGTGGGGACAGAAGCATCAAGTGAGGGTTTTTTTCAGAATGGGGGAGACATAGACATGTTTGTAGGCAGCAGAAAATAAGATAGTAGAGATGGAGAAAGTGGGTATAAGTGAAAGAATGGGGATGAGAGGGAGGCCATCCATTGGAGGAGATGGGATGGAAGGAGAATGCTCAAAAAAGAAGAGAGGGTTCATCACGTGAGAGAGGGATAAAAGAAGAGAGAGTAGCAGAAGTCACCTGAGTGAAAGAAGAGGAAGAAGGGAAAAAAGAGAGTTCATGGTGAATGGCCTCCATTCTCAGCTGAGAAAGTCAGGGGAAAAGGAGCCATGAGAGGCTTGAGGAGGAAAGAAAAGATTTGGAAGAGACATCGTAGAGAGTGGAATAGTGAGGTAAGGGAAGTATGATAGGATTATAAAATAGCACTGAGGGCCCAGCTGAGGCTGTATAACATACATCTGTAGTGGACCCAGTCAGAACAGTTACATAATTTTCTCCATTTTCATTCAGCAGCACATGCATAGGCACAACGACAGTGAATGGTGGAAGCGGCCCAATCTTTGATATGATAAAGGGACTAGGGATTCAAGAATGGACAATGTAGAGTTGAACCGGTTCACCAACGAGTCAAGATGAGGAGAAGAGAGAGTGACTAGTTCAGAGGAGATGGCCTGGGACAGAATTGATGGGGTCAAAGGATAGGAGGTCATGGTGAGGATGAAGGGTAAAGCTAAGTAAGGGAAGGGAGAGGGAGAGGCAAAAAGCCAACAGATGATGATCAGACAAGGGGATTTCAGAATTCTTGAACATGGAGACAGTACATTTGTAGATGGTGGCAAGATCTTTGTGTGTGGCTGAAGTGAAGTGGAGGAGTAGCTCATGGGAGGTAAACAGATTATGGAACTGAGTAGTAAGGGTATTTGAAGAAGAATAATATGCATGCTGAAGTCCTCTAGCGTGAGGGCAGGAGCTAGGAAGGAGAGAAAAACTGTAAGCCTCAAAATCACTGAGGAAAGAAAGAGAATGTATGCAGACATACAGCTACCAGGATTTTGATTGGGTGGTATATATGAATAGTACGAACCTCAAAGGAAGACAGGTTATCGAGTGAAGGAGGAAGGGGGAGTACATGGAACTGACACTGGGGAGCAAGAAGTACTCCAATTCCCCAACCTCAACTAGTGAGCACAGGACAACGAGAGAAGGTGCAGCCAGCACTGGAAAGGGTAACCAGGGAGACTTTGTCATCAAGGCAAAGCCATGTTTCAGTAAAAGCTAACAGATGTGTGAGAAGAAAAAATTTAAAATGAAAACAGAAGGGTTAGGTGGAATTATGATGAAATTTTGGGATGGGAGGATTGAGGAGGAGGGAAATGAGGAATCAGGTAGCAGGTGGTAAAGAATGTGGTTCGGATGATGATCTACAGGAGTTCAGAGTCACTGGGATGTGGCAGATATGACCAGGTATAAGAATGTTGAGTGGAAGGCCCACTCTTGTACCCTCAAAAGACAAGCAGAGAGGCCGGAAATCAAAGGAAGATTTGCTGTTGTTTGCACAGAGAGTTCTCTACGTCCCACTCGGGAGATTAGTCTGGCAGCAGAAGGCGGTAAGATGCCTCATGCTGGTACAAATGGAAGTGGTTGCTCTGGAGCATATGGAAAATGCCCAGCTTGGCCCCAAGCAGCTTTTCCTCAGGGACATGCTGTGCTGGGCAGGAAATGGAAGGCTCAGGTCACTGGTACACCCACGGTCTGAGGTCTTCTCACACCTGGGGACGTCTATATTAAGGCTCTGAAGGGGACACTTGTTTCGTTCTTCTCCCCCTATTAAAAAGTTAGCATTGCAACTAGTGCAGTGGACACAGTGCAAGAGTCAAGAAAACCTGAATACAAATTCTGCCTCAGAAGAGTACTAGCAGTGCGACCCTAGGCAAGTCACATAACCTTTCTCAGCATGAGCTTCCTCACCTGTAAAATGAGAATAATAGCCCCTACTTTGTAAGGTTGTTGTGAGGACAAAATGAAATAATATATGTAAAGTACTTTGCAAACCTTGAAGAGTTATATAAATGTTAGCTATTATTATTATTACCATTATACAGTCCCTTCCAACTGCTCGTATAAATTTGTCTTTCTAGGATTTTTCTGTATTCTTGTGTTTGTATTTTATATTCCTACTCCACTTTGGTTTTTTCATCAGAAACGTTTTAAATAACCCTGTTCTATTAAGTGTCTACTTTTTTCCTCTGTAAAATTTTGTTTAGTGGGGCAGACAGGTAGCACAGTGGACAGAGCTCTGGCCTTGGAGTCAGGCAGACCTGAGTTCAAATCCAGCCTCAGACACGTAACACTTACTAGCTGTGTAACCTTGGGCAAGTCACTTAACCCCAATCGCCTCAGCAAAAGAAAAGAAAAGAAAAAGAAAAATTATGTTTAGCTTTGCTGGACAAGTTATTTTTGGTTATAAGCTTCTATCATTTGCCTTTTGATATATTGTATTCTAAGAGTTCCCTTTCTGTTGGTAGAAGCTACAAGGTCTTATGTGGTCCAGATTGTTGTTCTTGATACCTGAATTGCTTCTTTATAGATGCTTGCAATCTTCTTTCTTTGCAGTGAAAGCTCTGGATTTTGACTAAGACATTCCTAGAACATTTATTTTTAGAAACAATTGGTAGATTTTTTTCTACCCTTATTTTGACCTCTGGTTCTGATAGATATTGGCAGTTTTCATTTGTAATTTCTTTAAATATAGTGTCAATAAGCCAACAAGAATTCAGTGTGTATTTACTATGTGCAGGCACTATGTTAAGTCCTGGGGATACAAAGAAAGGCAAAAACCAGAGTTTTTTTTGTTTTTGAATCATGGTTTTCATAGAGTCCAGTGATTCTTAAATTATTTTCTTGCCCTGTTTTCCAGGTCACTTATTTCTGACAGCATGTAACTTCTATTTCCTCCTATTTTTTTCAGTCTTTAAGTTTTATTCTAGTATTTCTTGCTGTCCCATGGAGTCGTTGATTTGTTTGGTATTTAATCTCCTTTTCATTCTTTCTTTGTGCTTCATCTCTTGATTCATTTCTTTTAGGTATTCATGTAATCCTTACAGAAAATCCACTTTTTCCCTTTGAGTCACTGCTTGGGGTCGTTATAGAATTACTTCTTCTTTGCAGAGCTAAAATATTTTTATGCTGGTTGGTGTTTTCTTTGATTTATTCATTTCTCCACATTTAGTTCCTGAATTAGGGTTCTGAACCAGGTTCAGACTCCGTACACTGCTTAGTCTCACCCTTAAAGACCCTTGAGTTTCTACAAAAAGTTTTCACCTCCCCCTCCTCCTACCGACCACCCAACTCAATCCTATCTAAGTCCTGGATCTTTGAAGTTCAGAACACTGGGGCTTCAGGGCTCTCTATAGTGTATCTCAGGACAGAGTGCTCAGCTCCTAAGAGCCCTAAGCCTAGGGCTTAAATTCGGCCCTTTGACTGAATCCAAACTTCACAGAACAAACCCCCTTAACAAAAGGATTTGTTCTGCAAAACTTGGACTCAGTCAAAAGGCTGCACCCAAGGATCTAGAAGGTCACACGTGGCCTCGAAGCTGCAGGTTCCCCATTGTTGGCCTAGAACAAGCAGGCCTAAGTGCTGTTGTTCAGTTCTATTTGTTGTCATATTCCTGGGCTTCTAAGGTATCCTCCAAGGGGCTTGCCCACTCTGGGTGCCTCTGGCCACAAAGCTTTCTTTGCAGGTCACATGTCTCTCCCAACCACTGTTTTGGTAGAAGGGTCAGCTGGTTTGCCTGGGCTTGCTGTGACTTTGCTAATAGCTCCTCTGGTCTCTGGCTGACCTCATGCAAGTCTGGGGTAGAAAAAGTCACTTACTCTAATTTCTCCTTAAAGCTCTTGCTAGAAATTATTTTGGCCAGGTGTGAATTTCAGGTTTTTATTGGAACAATCATGCTGGAGCTGGGCAGTCTGACTCTGTTTAGCCAGACATCTTCTACAAAAGACTCTTAATCATGATTTTAATAATGTAACCAGGCTCTCTCAAGCCTCAGGAAACCCCAACCCATCTGGCTAGCTTCAAAACACCACCAACAGATACACAAAGAGTATCATCTAGAAGAAAGCTTATCAATATTTTCAGTCTTTAGTGTCACCAAAGTAGCTAAGTCTAATAGATTTAGGTGTCACAAGCATTCATAAAGTATACAAAGAAGAGAACTAAAAAAGGAAGACGGACAAAGGGAAAGTAATGGGAAATTAACTCTAAAAGAATAATGGTCAGATAAAAGACAAAAGGAAGAGAGAGAAAGATACAGGTGGTGAAGAAATGGAAAGTATGACAAAGAACACCTCTACCCCATCCATAACTAGTTATAGGAACTGAAAGAAAAACACAGCATCCAAACAATCTTAGCCATTTTTTGTTCAAAATAAAGTTCATACCTTGGGAAGACCCGAGCACGTAATTCCTTAACAAAAGTTCGTGTCCCAGCTTGTACTGGTTTGGAACCATCATCACTTTCTGTGTAGTCATGTCTGTGCCAATTCCTCCTCTTTTTCACTAAAATTTTTAAAAATAAAAATATTTTTGATCACTGAGAATCAAATAGTAAACATATATATGTATATAACATAACTACGAATGGTCAGAAGGTATATTATATATGTATATACAATATACCTTTTTATATTACATATTTATATCTATAATATACCTTCTGATCATTCATGACTTGCCATGATTGAACAATGCATCAACTAACAGGCCAGCCTACTAGAAATGAGCTGTACCTTAAGTTGGTCCCCAGACAAAAACACTTTATCATTAACTTCTTACCTTTTAAAATAAGTAGAATTTGCCTGAGTTTGGGCTCCACTACAACAGCCTTTGAGAAGCAACGATCATTAAAGTCATCAGAACAGGACTTTCGTTGTATATTTGATCATTAAGTCCCAGCACATAATTGGCAATTAATGAATATTTGTTGATGAAATGATAAAATAAAAATTCTAAGACAGTGAAAACCATCACCTGTAAATCTCATTTTGTACAAGATGACATTGAATAGAAATGTTTTTAATGTATTTCTAAGTTTGATAACATCATCTTGGGCACTTCAGTTTTCTTATCAACTTCATTTTAAATTCTAAAACAAAATTTGAAGATGAAACAACTGAAATTAGAATACATGATACCTTAGACCAATACTTACCTTCAAAAAGACAATGAAAATTAATGTTATTGAGTCTGAGAGAGTCAGATCATATCACATAATCATTTTTAGTGTATTTTCTAATCTGTCTTTTTAAAACACCAAAGAGCAACCCAAAAAAATTTACCAGAGAAAGAAAGAACATGGTAGTAAAGAATAGTTATGCTAGAGTGGATTACCTCTAAAGCAACATTCAAAATCACCTAAAATAACCATACATGCTAAATGTACCAAGATTACAGCTGAATAGCCCCAGTCTGGTTCAATAAGGAAGGAGAGGTCAAACTAGAAAATCTTCAGTGAATAAATATATATGCTCTGACAAAAAAGTAAAACTGAAAATAGGAAAATTAATGCAGAAAGGTAGTTTAACATAAGATTTCTAGCAAGAAGTAAAGCTTATGCAAAAAATAGCAAAAAATTAGTATGGCTTGAGTATATAATTCAAGGTAACTAATAATGGTAGAAAATATTGCTTCTAATATGGAAGGCAGAATAAGCCTATTTTATCACAGCAGAAAAAAAAAGTTGCCCATATACAGCATTTTTTTACAACATCTACACAAAACAACTCTATCAGCTCTGAAAAACATCTGGTTTCCCTTTTCCTGAGGTAGTTTCACTATTCCTAACAAATTGTATCTTTGACATCCTACATTTTAGGGACCTTCTAGCACGTATTCAATTTTAATAACTAAACATGTAATAAATGCCTACTAGGCACTGAGAATTCAAAGACAAAACAAACAATTTTCACCCTCAAGTCACTTAAATCCTATGTGTAAAAAGGAAGAAATATAGCATGTATAGAGATAAATACAAAGTAATCTGAGAAGGGAAAGAGTATTTTAAGAGAGTGAGTGGACCAAGGAAGGCTTTTAATAAGAAGGTGGTACATGAGCTGAGCTTTAAGGAAAACAGGAATTCTAAGAGATATACGTAAGGAGAAGGCATATTCCAAACATGAAGGATATATAGCCTGTACAGGCAAGGACATGGGAGATGAAACTCCAAGGTCAGTGAACAGCTAGAAGGTCAATTAATCTCAAATACAGAATTCATGAAAGAGAGTTAAGACAAAACAAGGTAAGTGGGAATCAAATTGCATAGAGTTCTCAAAACCACTAGGCTAAGGAAATTGTATTTTATCCTACTGGCAATAAAAAACCACTAAGCAATAATGCTTTGGTACTGGTTTAAGAAATAAAACAGTGAAAAAATGAGTAGAAGATCCAGAAACAAATGAACACAGTAGCCTACTGTTTGACAAACCCAAAAGACCCCCTGCTCCTAAGGTAAGAACTCTCTATTCAACAAAAACTGTTGGAAAAACTGCAAAGCAGTCTGACTTTAGGTATAGACCAACATCTCACACCATATACCTGGATAAGCTCTAAATATAAAAGGTGGTATCATAAAAAAATTAGAGGAGCAAGGAAGAAATTACATGTTATGACTAATGTGGAAATATGTGTAATGTGATTGTACATGTATGGCCTACATCAGATTGCATACCTTCTTGGGGAGGGGGAAGGGCAGAATTTAGACCTCAAAATCTTATAAAAGTGAATGTTGAAAACTATAAATAAATAAAAATAAATTACAGGTTAGCTCTATAGAGAAAGAGTTCATGACCTAATATGGGATAAAGAAGATCACAGAAGATGATCCCTTTGGAGTGGAAAACTAGCAGAGGTAACGTGGCATGAAAGGGTATGCACAGTTTAATAACAGTTTAGGAATAATTCAAAATTCCTTTCTGTCACGGCTGGACCAAAGAACAGCTCCACCAACACTGCATTAACGTACCTGTTTTCCTCCCCCCACTCTCACTCCCCAACATTTGTTCTTTTCCTTTTTTCTCAACTTGACCAATTTGATGGGTGTGAGGTCGTACCTCAAAGTTGTTTAATTTGCATTTCTCAAATTATTAGTGATTTAGAGCATTTTTCCATATGCCTATTGATAGCTTAGACTGTTTTCCTCTGAAAATTTCCCGTTCATATTCTCTGACAATTCATCAAGTGGCGAATGGTTCTTATTCTTATAAATCCGAATCAGTTCCTTGTATATTTTAGAATTGAGATTTTTTTCAGAGAAATTTGCTGCAATTTTTTCCTTATTTATCTGCTCATCTTCCAAGTTTAGCTGCATTAGTTTTGTTTGTGCAAATGGTAGAGGATAGTTTACATTTGAACTGAACAAAATGAACAATCATGTCTTGAAAGAAAGTGAGATTAGAAATAAGGGGGATGGGAGGCAGCTAGGTGGCACAGTGGATAGGGCACCGGCCCTGGATTCAGGAAGACTTAAGGTCAAATCCAGCCTCAGACACTTAACACTAGCTGTGTGACCCTGGGCAAGTCACTTAACCCCACTGCTTAGCCAAAAAAAAAAAAGAAAAAGAAATAAGAGAGATGGACTGAGAGAAAGGAGAGAAGTAAAAAGACCAGAAGCTTCATGTCTCAAAGCTCTATAAGAATACTAGTAGTCTATCAGTATTAAAAAAGAGAGGCCATGCTTTCTAGAAAAAAATCTAGGGTCATTAAAGGAACCCTGCAGTTTCTGAAGACAATCCAGCCCATTCTTCTTGTTTAATTCTGGGCCCAACTCACCTGCATTTTTACTGTCTATCTCAGATATATGTGATGACGGACAAGCTCTATAGTATGTCTATTCAAATGAACATCATCATCTGCATAAGAGATATTCTTTAGCCACTTGATTTTTCCTCAGTGGACGGTTTAGCTAAATTATTTTGAGTTGCTACAAATAAGTTTCAGGAGATATTTAGGGGCTTAATGAAATATACATGTTAATGTATATAAATAGGATCACAGATTTAGAGGTGGATGGGACCTTAGAGGTCATCAATTCCAATCCCCTTAGTTTACTGATGAGGAAACTGAGGCACAGAGGTTTAAATGACTTACCCAGGGTCACATCACTACTAAGTATTTAACAAAGAATTTGAAATTCAGTTTCGTTGCGTCCAAGCCTAGCACCCTAAGCACTATACAACCCTGCCTCTCAGATGAAGAAATATCACTGAGGGGCACTGTAACGTAGCAGGAAGAACATGGAATCGAGAATCTAAAGAACCTCAATACACACAGGGAATCAACCAACTTGGACTCTCCTTCATTGCATCATGACAGTGGTAAAATCTTAGAGAGCACACTTCTCCCTACTTTATGCTTTCCCTTATGTTTGTGATCAGATGGTAGAATACATTTATTTCTGTTGTTATATCTTTCAAGAAATCTTGGACTGTTTTGATGTATGAATGGGAGGGTACGTTACTGGAAAAGAGCTTTTAAAGTAGCAGCTTGCTCTCCCAAATCAAGTGTTTTTTAAACAAAAGCCAAACAATAAGCACAATGTATTCTCTACATCTTTTAGTCAATTAAGTGGTAAAAATGTAGTTTCCTGTGGAGTATCCCTTGCAAAAGCGTACCTGGTTATTTACTAATACCCTCAATAAAGATGTCCTTTGTGTGTGAAGATGCTTCTCATAAAAAAACCTTTATAAACACATACGGGAAAGTAAGCACGTAGATCAGTAGTCGTTGATGCTCTCTCCATTGACTTTTTCAGTATTAATAAGGTCCACAATTTCATGTTAATTTGAAATTAACTCAATTTTGCTCCTAAACATTAACAAATCACAACAGAATTTCCATATTTAAAAAAAAATACAATCAACCTTTCCTTAACACAAATATCCTGCTGGATACATACATAAATAAAGATAAAAGCAGGCAGCTAAAGACACAGAGAGTAGAGATGGGGCCACTGAGGAAACTCTGGTATGTCTCAGAGTTTAAAACGTTCAGTATTGTCCTCTACAAAGAGGACACTTGGAGTCACCTATTTCAGATTTCCTCTTATTTTAGGACTTTATACAGGGACATCTTCCATGAAACTAGTAAATATCTTTTAGCAAGCATATGTCATCGTTTTCTGCCTTATTAGATGCTCATCTTCAAAAGGATCACTGCACAATTTACAAGTGAATACAGTTTTAAAAGCAGAGGGGTCCAGCTTTGGTTGCAGTTTGGCAACTGCTCCAAAGCAGACATCAGATAGGCTGAAATGTGCATTAATCAGGCACCATGCTCTCTAAATAGCACCTAACAACAAGAAAATTCTAGGTACCATAATGATGTAGTAACACCAAAAAAAGAAATAAAGAGGAAGTTCCCCAAGAAAACAACTAAAATCTTTTTTAACAGTAGAGAGAGCAGAAGCAGGGAGGACAGAGTAAAAGCTTATTCTGTGTAGAGAAAATACTCTAGATCTTGGGAATTTCTGGACTGTTGCAAAACAAATGACCAGTTGCACTGAT